ACGCTTGAGGTATTCGTCCAATCACTAGGCACTGTATAGTTGGCCAATCAAGCACACCTCGCTTTTTTCAGACCGATGAGCTTTGTAAAAATCGACGCGTTTCAAAAAGGCAGGGCATAGAGGAGAAACAATAATGTACAGTATGTGGAAAATAATGTGGTTTTTTAACTTTAAACCGCATAAACACATTTCATTACACCAAATACACAAAATAATGTTCTTTTTAGCAGCATCATATGACCCCTTTAATAGGCCAAGCGAACACTGTTATCGACCTGCATCAAAATTCTGCCAAGTCAAATAATCAGCCTGTTTAATACATCAGTCATCAGTTTGGTTTTAAACACTTCCAAATCATTTGTTTTTAACAGGAGAATGGAGTAGGTGGCCTTGAACATTTGCCAGAGAGGAGGCTTGCCGTTAATCACTTACCATTTGCAAGCTCAAAAACAGGCAAACATGTAAAACCAAGGATACAACAGCTTTCTGAGCCCACCTGGCATTCTTTCGCATATGTGTTGATGAAGCAGGTGCAAAGGCACTAATCACTAATACATTCCAGAAAAAAACTTTTCCTGATGCAAGCATGTGCGTCAGTGTGTAATCTCTTCATAAACAGTTGGCTCTATCACACTCAAACTTGATCTCAAACAACAACTTTTCTTCATACAGAGTCCAAGACATTCAGATCTTAAGGTGTCCCATCTCTTCATGCTCTAATGCCTGGACATAGCCAGACTACAGAGGACTTTCTGCAGGAAACACAATGAAAAATTCAGACCAGACTTCAGAGCATAACATGAATCCAAAACACTAGCAAACCAGAGACCAAAGCACACTTGAGCCTTATTTCCTGGAAGAGAAAGTCATCATCGTTCCTGTGTTTACACACACAGAGGAACATATTAAATTATATTTATCACCAAATGCATTTTCAAACCACTATATAATGCCAAAACACTGAAGACAGTTTCAGAGTGGAATAAATAAGCGCACTTTAAGATTTATTATGTGATTAGCATGGACGTACACATGCCTTAAAGTCATGATGAGCAAGAGATCTTATATTGTAATATAAATCTGAGTGTAACAAATCATCAGAAGAGGGGAGAAAAAAAAGAGTCGGGACTTGGTTCTATGAATCAGTTGTTGATTGGATTTTGAGATGTGGCCGTTGAATTAAAAAATGAATATGAGCTTGCAGTCAGTTGTGGAGGGATGGGATTTAAACTGACTAAATGTTCGGAGAAGTCCGACATATGTCACCAAATAAGCCTGTCGTTCTCATAGAAATATCGAGTTATGGCTTTTTGATTAAATATAAAAAACAGAGCCTACAATACCCTCAATTACAAACAAATCACGAGAGCGAGAGGACGAGAGCTTCTCCTCTTTCTTCAGTCAGCCTGGATGTGCATCACTGTCTCTTGGCAGCTTTAAAAACATAAAATCTAATTGGTTGACCATGTGGAGCTCTTTGTATTTTAAATTTAAACCTCATTCATCTATAATGCTGTGATGTAGTGCGAAATATGCTGAGAGGAGACTTTAATAGATGATTAAGATTGCAGTCCTTGTCCAAACCGAGCATGAGTGCTGAGCCGACTACACATATTTATAAGCCATAATAGCAGCAAATGACCCCAGATCAGTAGGATGATTCCACAACGTTCAGGAAGAAAATCCTCTATTCTAGTATTTGGTTATGTGCCGCATTGTGTGAGAGAACGTGCAGTGTGAGCTAAACCCCCAGGAAATTGGTACAGGAGCTAGAGCCAGGTAAGAGAACATCTGCTGAAGGGAGATATAAAACACACACACACACACACATACAACCACAATCCCCACCTTAATCACCTCTCAGTTAATGGAGGCTATTTGTGTGGCCAGAGATAGCTGGCTAAAGCCTGAGAGAGGGAATGAGCACATCAGTATAAGCATGTGTGTGTTTAAGTAGATCTCATCAAATGCATAAAATAATGAAACGAGGAATGCGTGTACACTCAAATTATTTTTTTCTTTGTGCTGACATAAAGCAACAACCCTACAATAAAACATCTAGACCTACACTGATATTTCCTGCAGGTAAGCAACAGGACAATATAAATCTCTCATGCATGCTTCAAAAACAGCATCATCTCTTACCTAATCACCATTATATAAATCAACACCAGATATGAATATATGACAAGACAAATATCCATGCTCCTCTGGGAATCACTGCAACTGAAAATTTAAAGAAGTATAAATAAATAAGAGGTGTGATAATAAATAAGTAATCTGATCCATTAATTAAATTTCCCTTCTGGAATTAATAAAATTCAGATTTTGTTGTAATTAAAATTTCTTTAAAAAACAACAACAATGATCTGCTGAATTCATACTCCTGGATACAGCCTAGCGTATCACTTCCACATTTAGTCTCAGTGCAGCGCAGTGTATGGAAATTGTGAGAAACTTAAGCACAAAATTAATCTTGAGGAAGTGTTACACAACAGGACAAAGCAATATTGATGATTCACCTTTAAGCTTAAGGAATCTAAAGATTCTGGAACTCATTACTAAACTGTATGTTTTAATCAGATGTGTTTCTAGCCTTTCATCAGTACAGGGGCCTCCTTCAAAAAAAAATTGTCCTAATATTTTTTTGGGATGCTGTTATGGATATATTTATATAAATTGGCTTTGCAGTACAAAGTTGAGCTGCTTCATTGCAGACAAATGATAAAATACATTTGCAGGGTTTGTTTCTAGTTTATTGTTGTATAGTCAGTATCTAATAATATTATAGAAATATGGCAGAAAGAGTTTGCTATGGAAGAATATTATACCTGAAGCTCACGTAGCACTGAGATTCCAGTGAAAATACGTAAGTAGTCGACATGCAAAGAGTCCATTGTGTTTACCAAGAACACATGAGTCCTCACATCACAAGCCCCTGAGCCCTTGAACTGATGCATATCAGTCCAGTAAGCAACATGTGGGCAAGTCTATCTCTCTTATCCACCCTACCCACACCTTCTGCCAATCTCACTGTTATTCCAAGCCAAAGTAACATTTTGTACAGTTGCTGATTACTGCCTTTAACGTAACTATTAAATATTTCTGCAAGCAAAGTGAAAAGAGGTGGCGTAAAATATCAGGTTAGACGCCAAATCTAATAATGGCTTTTCTTTCTGCACTGGTGGACCTGCCAAAGACACAGATCAAGGGCAAACAATATGTCTATGTAAGAAATTAGTAATAACAGCAAAACAAGAACAAAGGACTACATTTTTTGGAAAGCAATATACAACAAGAAACTTTGCATGAGAATAAATAAGAGAGCATCACACAAATCAAAAAAGCGGAGACATTTAAAACAGTATGAACTTTCATTCCTGCAGTCAACTCTCTATCATGACACAGAGGCTTTCAAATTCCATAGACACACACACACAAAAAAGAAGCCTTATCGGACATGCACAGCTTGAAAAAAAAAAAATACTGCTTAAGCATGTTGTGGATCAGTATTTTCCATTCTTATACAGTTATGAGCTCAGCTCACAGACCCTATTAACTGAAATTCAACAACATCAGAACATCACAGTCATCCAACACCTGTTATTAACACGCTACATTAAACTTAAAGGGTTAGTTTACACAAAAAATGAATATTGCTCCAAAACTGTATGACTTACTTTTTTTGTGAAACACAAAAGATGCAGCATGATAGCCTCAGTCACCATTCACTTTCATAGTTTTTTCCCCTCATACAATAAGCAAATGGTGACTGGTGCATTCTTCCTTTTAACATAAGTCTTGACACTTTTAGTGAACTAACACTTTTTTTAATTTTTACAATATTGTATTATTGTTTTATATTTTTTAAGAAAAGCTTTTTCATCCTTCTATGAACAGAAGGATGTCCATTGGTATAGAAGCATACGGCTGGTGAACTTAAATGTTCCGTCGGTATCTAAGTGAAGACATCTGACGGAAGTTTGGAGATCAGCTGCAATAATCAGTTGCTATCTGCTGAAATCTGCTCGTGCACTTCCTCTCACTTGATTGACAGCTCGTCAACAGCGCTCGCGCCCTGACCGCGAAGCGATGGAGCTTTCTAGCAAATCCACAAGTACGGCGACTACATCACACACAAACCATCAAAATACACACATACGGTCTCCTAACAGCATATTTAAAAACAGCCTGAGTCTGAGACTGATTTTCAGCAGACACTCTTAACGTGAGTTTACAGGGAGAAAGAGTTAAAGTTAGTAATTCCCCTGAGGAGAGCGGTGGTCAGACAGCTCCCTCTACATCAACAATAACACGCTGGAAGCTTTCTACAACACCTCCAATGCAAAATCATTTCTCGTGCAACTTTAGCCAGGAGAACAGAGGTTAAATGCATTATAACGGCCTCTTAATACAGCAGGTAAGTAGTACGCGTACTTCTAACGGCACAATAAGATCTCCCTGCACACTATCCGACTGGAAATTGAGCGCAGCGTTTTACCTTTAGTTCCGCACTCTCCGCCATCTTGTGACTGCTAGCGCAGCCGTGACGCTATGGGGTCACGTGGTGTGCACGCGCAGCTCGTTGCCGGCGTAACCGTTCACACGTTTTTCAAACAGTAGTTTCCAAAATGTTGCTCTACGTTTTTATACAGTCGATGGTTTTAGCGCGTCTGAGCATACTTCCCCAGGATTTTTAAAGCTCCCAAAAGTTCATTCATTCAATTTAGTATGACAATGGGTTTCAAATCTATTCAAATAATGTTGTTTTTGGTCAGAATTAACTAAAAGTATTCCGTCTAAATGCCTCAGCTTTGTTAGACACTCGTCTACAATTTTTCTTTTTATCCAAATAAACTAAAGTAGCTACATTCTATCCACATTCGTCCAACACCAAGGAACAAAACTGCTGTAGTATCCAAAGTACCTGGATTTTATTGAAAATCTTGCAGCTAAAACATCGAAGAGAAGATCATTTTTAATGTTACTGAATTTACAGAATCTCATACAGAGATGTAAACATAAATAAATCCAGAGCATGCACAAGTTGGTTTTCCAGGTCAAATGAATGAATAAATAAATAAATTAGCGCAAAAGGTCATAGTTTTAAGCGGTTTTAACTAAATAAAGTGTGTAATATGAAAAAACGTATATATTAATAAATAACTTCTTAACAGACCACACAAAATACGTTATTTTATTTAGGCCTATTCATAATTATAAATGACAATGGTAAAATTATCACTAGTTACAAAATATTTTCTGAAATATTTTTGTACTGTATTTTGCTTTTTGTATTTTTCATGCCCCCTGCCAGGTATTGAGTGGGTGCACATGCCAGACATGGTCTAAATAAGTGTGTAATCAAACGGATACACTGTCCGCAATTATAGAACATATATCGCTGAACAAGCACATCGGCAATGTGCAATGTCTGTTTTTACCACTAGATGGTAGTGTTGTATTTTACAACAGTAATAGACGCTGAGACTCATTTTTGGGTTAGTGCGTTTATAATGGTTTAAAAAAAAGTGCTACTGAACACGTTTTCAGTGTTTGCAGAAATATAGGCTAGACCTATTTCTTGAAAAGCTGGAATGTTGGGAAAGTGATCAATACATTTTAACGAGAAAACATTTTTAAACATTACTGTTTAATTTAGGCTATATATTTAGGCTATTTGTCTGTAGGATAGCCTACAGCAAGATAACGATCCGGGCGTTATTATTATCACGCAAATGTTTTTCCAGGCAAGAATTTCAGGTAAGATAAATACAGTTTCTGGATTTAGAATTCATGTCTTAAAATAGACATTTAATCTGTGATAATTAAAAAGTAGCCTAACAAAGGTATGTTCGAAACATTGTGTGAAGGAGATATTTTGAATTTATGAGTCAATACTTGTGGCTTTAATTGAACTTTTATTGAAGAATGAGACAAGAGATAATATTATTTTTGAAAAAAAGAGAGAGAGAGAAACACTCCAGAGGTCTTATGACATTTAGTTTGAGCACTTTCATGTGGAATAACAACTTTTGTGGTATTCTCAATTGTTTATTTGGAAAATATGGGATAAGTGCTTGTTCAAACTTGTGTTTGTTGTACATTAATATGAAGTACAGCTGATTTTCAATCATTTTTGGGTTGATTAATTTTGGATAGATAGGTCTGAAATGTTGCTTATTTAAAGTGCTTAAAATTGATGATGCACAATTAATTTGGGATAGCACATCAGTTCAGAATTCATTTAGAGAAAAACAAATACATGTAAAAACACATAAATAAATAATAGGAATAATAATCAACAATTCCAGTTTATGAAATTTCACATTATACAGTTCATTGCACATTGCCACATAGTATGTATTTGTATTGTTTAAAAAAAAAATCAAACTATTTACACAAGTAACAGCATAATTATTAGAATGCTTCTTGTCATCCTCTGGCTTGTTTTACTGTTTTCATAAAGTAATTCTAGACACTTTCATCCGCAGTGGAATGTTCAAATGCCAGTGAATAGCCTACTTGGGATGGATAGTGATTCAGCAGTCCTCAGGCCTCAGTGTTCGGTGTGCGTAACTTGAACCTCTCAAACAGAGTGTAAGTGGAGAATTCCTTTAGGGGAGGTTTACAGATGGCACTGGGATCCTGGGATGCAGCTTTAAGTTAAGGTGGTAAGAGGGGTGGCTTGAATGTGCAGGTCCCTGTGCAGTGGCGTGGAGTGAGCATTTTGCAGGAGAAATGGTGAAGAGCGTCGTGAGCTTCTAGGGAGATGGTCGATTTAGTTCCTCTCCTCTCGATAAGACAGTTCCCTCTTCATTTGATCCTGAAAATTATCTGTTAGAGTCAACACGTATTATATTAACTTAAGTTATAAATAGAAGAAATGATATAGCAAATTAAAGCATGGTGTGAATATATCCATCTCTTAATTACCTTTCAAACTTTGAAATTCCCGCTCCAGTTTTTTTCTTAGCTCCACTTGCTCCAAGAGCTGCTTTTGGAGCTCCTCTGTGGAAACCGACAGAAATCACATCATTTATCATATCACTGTGACTTTTAATCACCACACATATCCCAATAGCTTTTGAGTAAGCTACAGTCTTTTAGAGAAAATTATCCCAAGTAAATCAGATGTTTTTTTTATCATGTATTTTCACTCTCTGTTTGGTTTTCTTGTCTAATAGCGCTATTTAGGTTACTAAGGCTAAACACACGGTGCCCGTGTTCTCAAGCATGACATTGCAAAATAATTAGGACAGTTGCCTGAGGGGTGTGTGGAAAACGAGCCTGGCAATGTGGATCGTCTGCAGTTCAAGGACAATTCTCAGTTATACACAATTGTGTAGCGATCACACGCATTTTTAAATTCATAATGAGTGTAAAATGGAGAAACACTGCACACAAAGAGCTATTTGCCTTAAAAATAGACATCGCCTTGTCTGTTTTAAACAATCATAAAAGCCAGTTGGCTGCCTCTGTTTGTAATTTGTCACGTTATCTTGTGCATAAACTGTGATTTCAACACCCTAACACATTTGCTTAGCTAACAATGGAATAACACTGCTGAAAATTGTCAATAAAATATCAAAATATTTACCTTTCGCCATATTCTCGATGTCTTTCTCGAAATTAAATCTGTTATCAGTATTTCTCAATGTAGCGTCGCCTGCCACAAAATATAGAAATATATTATCACACTGAATTTTAAAGATGATTTATTTTGTATAAATATGTAATGTTGTTTTAAAACACACACACACACACACAAGAACAGGACAATATTTGTATTGCTACTCACTTGGGTTCTCTTTGCTAACACTAATATGATCCGAACAGGATTTTTGTGATTCACATTCGTCGTCAGTAGGGCTGTTGTTTGAAATGTGTGAATCTAAAGGAAAATAGTCTTGTTAGCAGGCCACCTATTCAGAGTAAATAATTAAATCCTATAATTTCTTCTAAAATCGACGAAATGAAAGTTGTTAAAATTCTAGAGTATACGCTATATAATAGGCTACTAATGAATTGTAAATTGGGGGACATTTTTCCCAGTCATCTCAATAGCAAAGAATTTTTCCTAATTTACCCAAATTCACTTATTTAAATGTTAGTTTGTTAAATTGTCTTACCGTTTGTTTCCGGTGCGCAGCGAGGAGGTTTAGAGGCCGAACAGGGCAGTGTGCTCTGAAGAGATGCTCCCTCCTTTTCATGCGAGTACACCTGCAAAAATGAACCAAGCATTTAAAAAATAAATACAACCCCAATCATGCATCATTTTCTTCTTTTCTTACGCAACCATGCTTCAGACAACAGACTGCGTTTATACACTTCTAATGATCTACGAATATTTGGCAACATCAAGCCAAATTACTCGTATTACAAGGTAAATTCGGTCAGATGGACTGACAAAGGAATAATTTACGGAGTTATCCACAGGGGAGCCCTTACACCAACGCACCAATAGCCGCGGGCGACGACAGAAATGATCAGTCATTCTAAACATTTAATTTAGTATAATTACGCGCCGCTGGGTTCTTTTATTTAGATCGTTCTACGTTAATAAATAGAATATAAACGATCTGTATCCATAACAACATAAATTGCAAATTGTTCACAAATAGAAAACTATGAATGTAGAGTCCATAGGCTCAATTATGCGTCATTACTTGCTATTAGAGTTGAAAGACTGCTGTATCAGACAAGTGCTATTCTGAACAATGACTGTTTTAATTCAGTCTGCCATTTTGTTGATTCAAATAATTTGACACTAAGAGGGAGCTATTTATTTGACGTTTTAATACTGGATATAGATTCAAATGGTTTCAGTGCCACTGAATATGGCAGTTTGTGTGACTCACTTCGTAAGCAATGGCATCACTTTTCTTTGCCACCTGCTTGTTCTGCTTTTGATCAGGGGAGCTCCCGTCACTAAAAGTGGCTATGTGGTCATCATCCGGCTGCGGAGTTGGACTGTTTTCCCTCACGGGACTTTGTCGATCATCCACGGAAAGTTGTATAGACTCCTCGTCCTCCGGAATTCTGTGAGTCTCCACGTCGACATCCGGTTCTTCCCCGCTGTCCACACATGGAGAGGCTGATCTGTAGCTGGAGCTCTCACTCACAAAGTCTGGCGACAAATGGCCAGGATGAGCACCGCTGTACGCGTCCCTGTTCCCGTAGAGCTTAGCTATGCTCTCTGCGTCTTTAACGACGGGTTTGAACGCAGAAATATAGCTCAGCTTTCTGGGGGTGCGGGGTTGACCCTCACTTGACCTGGCCTCGTCCCCAGATTTGTCCTCGTCGTTCCTGAGGGACTGCGAACTAGAGCAGCGCTCGCTGTCGAACAGACTGTCTCTAGGTGTGTTTCCTCCCCGCTCACTTTCTGACATGTCTGTTTCGGTTTGCCGGCCACCCAGGAGCTCCGTGTGTGATTTTAGTTGTGCTGGTTGATAGGATGAGAGCGCCAGGCTGCCCGCGGTAGGCCAGAACATGGGGAACGATGGATAGATACCGTCCTTCGCACCGGGCCAAAACACACCAGGTACATTGGTCCTATTCTGCTCACCA